AACAGTTTAGGAATCTTCTTGTGTGTTGTTCCCCAGGAAATCTCTGTAAGTATTTTTTTTATTTCTTTTTTTTTGTTTCTTCCTGTCCCTACAGGGGGAGACAATAAAGTAACATGTATCCACGACCTAGGCAAAAGCCCAGTAATTGTTCAGTCCCCCCTTTCTACCCTTAATAAGCAAAATTTATAATTGTTACAACTGGTACCGAACGTGGTAGGCAAATAAAAATTCTTACAAAATCAAGAGAAATAAAGACAATATTTACCCCCCAACAAAAATTTTCATCTCTTCCTCGAAGAATCAATACCAACATTCCAAGTGAACAACACATAGTCTATTAAATGTGTGTAGACACATCTTGGGTAGACTATCCCAGATCTTATATAGCTCAAACAAATCTTAGAATCCTAAAAAGTATTTATGAACATTCTATTTCTGTTGCCATTCCGATTCAAGGTCAGCTCCCGGTCAAGACCGTCTTCATACAGGTCACAAAATTTATTTGGAAAACTCCAGAACCATAGCCCCTATCGGCTTCTATAAACCAAGAATTATCCGAGTAGCCATAGAAATTGAAAAAAATCCAAATTGTCGCAATAAAAGAGATGACGGCGTCTCTCATGGAGACATGGACATGGAGACCTCTCATGGAAAATACTCTCCACGTCAATCTCCGCGCCAATCTCCACGCCAAACCCCACGCCAACCTCCACTTAAACTATGTCACGTTATATCGACGTTATAAATTAACCGTCAGCTTTATATATATATATATATATATATATATATATATATATATATATATATATATATATATATATATATATATATATATATATATATATTATTGTGATATTCAAAGTCTTAGTGCGCCAATCAATTAATTAGCTAATTAATTAATTAATTAATTAATTAAAATTATTTAAATGATATGACTATGATTCTATCACACTTTTTAATTCTCTTATCTCAGCGTTATATTTGTGCTTCAAAATCTATGCTTTACATGTGAAAGGTAAGGTCCAAAGAATACGGGAATAATAAAAATTTATTTTGATGAAATATATATGATATAACATTATATATTGAAATAAAAATAATGAAATAAAATTCACACTCAAATGTTTTCAATAAACAATATCTCATAATGATTCTCAAAATTTTGTTCTACGTACGTGAACCTTCAAAATTAATGGTACAAACAATATTAGTTTAAATCTCAAAATCCCAATTATTATTCTAAATCTCCTAATAATCAAAATATTTATATCTTTTCTAAAGTAATTGTAAAAATTGTGTTATCAATAAAAGAAAAACTGCAGAAAAACAAAACTATCTCTCTCTGATGATGAGTGGTCCAAATCCTTGCTTCTTGTAGCCTATACTATCTATTCTTAGCAGCTCCCTAGATAATCAACAATCTTACAACAAATTGTTGCAAGTTTATCGTCCTTAATGATCTCCTTCAAATGCACGAATCGTTCAAATTATGCTAGCCTCTTCTCCTCTCGATAAACTGAATCTCTCGTTGGCCTGAGTGAAAAATGACTCTTGGAATATCTTCCCTTTACGATAAACTGAATCTCTCGTTGGCCTGAACAGTGACTCTTAGAATATAAGTAGAAAAATATGACTTACAATCTTTTACTGGATCAGCTTTTGTCAGATACACTAACTACACGAAAACTCACAAACTTTCACTGCTACTGCTTCCTACCTCTGGGAAACTACCCGAGAACAACGGCCGTTCGCCTTGCACCCTTGAAAACCAACTGACTCTCTTTTCTTTCTTCAAAAACTCCTAAAGTCTTATTTTTAAACCAACCATCCCGCCTTTTTCAATCTCATCCAATCAAAACGCGTCATACATCTTCCATTTCTTCATTTCGATAACACAAACAAATTTTTACTTACAATTATAAAATTTCCTAAAACTTATTTACAAACTAATATTTTTCTACCAATTCTTATGAACTAACAAAAACATATCTTTCTAAAATCTATTCTATTCTCCTAATTACTGCTAACCTAACCTAACCTAACCTAACCTAATTACTGCACAAATTTATTTGGAAAACCCACTTCCATTGTCTAGGATTTCACTTAAGCCCATTTACGTCACTCAAATATATTTTACAAAGAAGATAATTTATGCATATCTTACGTTCTGTTTAATACAAGTAATCCAAAGATAATGGACTTTCATTCTTCGAAATGTTTGTAGTTTATTATTAGACTTATCTGAATTATTTTAATTTTAATATTTTAAGCACACCAATATTTTTCTCGATTTTACCTATCATAACAATATATATATATATATATATATATATATATATATATATATATATATATATATACTTTGGAGGGTAACTTTCGGGAAAGCGTCAAAACAAGGATCAGCTAGAGATGGTATAAGCCAGTTTGGTGTAGAACTTTATTCTAAATGTGAAATTTTCGGTGATATGTTGTCACCTTCATCAGCACCTAAATGAAAAACCTATTTTAGTACAAGTGGTGGAAATTAACATTCAAAACCTACAATGAAAATGTTCAGTTGCTCCTAGATGTGAAGAACACTGTCACAAACATGTTAAAAATATTAAAAAATACATTTAAAATTTTGAATAAAAACATTACAACACAACAGGGTATTATTTAAAATACAAACACAACAAAAATCTAAAAATTACAACCTACAAAAACTGCAACTTCATGTTAAAGGTAGAAAAGAAGAATTATTCTTCTTTTTTGATGACATATTTCTGACTTCTGTCAATATCCGGGTGTCATATGCAACGAGGTTATAATTTTCACGTTAGAACCTCATGATGGATATGAAAAGAAAGAACCCCAGGAAACACAGTCAGCAGGGAAATGAAATGAAGTCTTTTCTTAAATACAGGTAGGCAATCTTTGCATGTTATGATAAGTTCCCTACATTCTCCAGTTTGTTACATCTTGTCAAGTCCTGTTGAAGTAGAAAGGAATAAATACAACTTAAGTTTTCAACATCTTTCTTACAGTTCATAGAAGAACTGCAGTTATGGATGTAGCACATTTCTATGAAGTTTCTCTTAAAAATGTGCTACATAGAAATGTGCTACATCCATAACTGCAGTTCTTCTATGAACTGTAAGAAAGATGTTGAAAACTTAAGTTGTATTTATTCCTTTCTACTTCAACAGGACTTGACAAGATGTAACAAACTGGAGAATGTAGGGAACTTATCATAACATGCATAGATTGCCCACCTGTACTTGAGAAAAGACTTCATTTCCCTGCTGACTGTGTTTCCTGGGGTTCTTTCTTTTCATATCCATCATGAGGTTCTAACGTGAAAATTATAACCTCGATGCATATGACACCCGGATATTGACAGAAGTCAGAAATATGTCATCAAAAAAGAAGAATAATTCTTCTTTTCTACCTTTAACATGAAGTTGCAGTTTTTGTAGGTTGTAATTTTTAGATTTTTGTTGTGTTTGTATTTTAAATAATACCCTGTTGTGTTGTAATGTTTTTATTCAAAATTTTAAATGTATTTTTTAATATTTTTAACATGTTTGTGACAGTGTTCTTCACCTCTAGGACCAACTGAACATTTTCATTGTAGGTTTTGAATGTTAATTTCCACCACTTGTACTAAAATAGGTTTTCCATTTAGGTGCTGATGAAGGTGACAACATATCACCGAAAATTTCACATTTAGAATAAAGTTCTACACCAAACTGGCTTATACCATCTCTAGCTGATCCTTGTTTTGACGCTTTCCCGAAAGTTACCCTCCAAAGAATTGTATTCTTAGCGTCGTTATACAAACTCTATATATATATATATATATATATATATATATATATATATATATATATATATATATATATATATATATAATATATATATATATATATATATATATATATATATATATATATATTATATATATATATATATAGCGAACTCTCATAGAAATAAAGACAAAGAGAGTGACAGATTAAAAATGAAATCTTAAAGTACATTAAGATAGGTAACAATGAATTTAGGATATTAAAAATACAATAAATGTGAAAATGATTACAATATGATAATACACATACAAAGATGATAAGAACTGTACTTAATACAAAAAAAAATACTAAAATAAAAACTTACCATAGTTTTTCCAGTACAATTATAATTTGCGTGTTGTAAACCACTGGTTACCATGGTTTTGAAAGTAGCAGAACATTGGGATTGTGCTTGTAATGGACCGCAGGAGTGTGACGTCACGACTGTCACATTGACATTATTACTTTCCAAACAAAAGTTGAAATGTCAAATCTCAAGACTTTTTAATTTCTATAAAGTTAACATTTTGCTTGCTCTGCTGCTTTTTCTTGTAAGCATAGTGTTTTTACGATAATACCATCATAATTCAGAGTTCTATTTCTATGAAATATAGTTTAAAAGTTTAAATAAAGAAATTGTAACCTTACTTTATTGATACATGCATTTTATTACTATTAGCATAAAACAATGTGCTTTATTATTTACAAAACCTTGTAAAATTGTTGTAGTAACTATTAGAATACTAAAATATTGCAATAAGCGGAAAGATTCTATAAAGTAAATGAAAAAATAACGAAAAATACAAATTATCCACACTAAACCAGGTTTGTTTGGAAAGTGAAACTGACGTATGTCAGTAAAATCTACGTCATCACTCCTGTGGTCCATTTCTTGTCTAATTTCTTTGTATGTATGCATCAAGTTTTACGTTTTATGAATTTACGGTCGGTCGGGTTTATTTAGTTATTCAAAATATTTTGGGATAATAACCTTATAAGTTGTTTAATATTAAAGATAATATTTCTTTATTTAAAATTGACAAGTTCCGAAAATCTACTCACAGGATAAATCCTCTAAAATGTTTGTCCAATATCCGTGGATGTGATCACGTATAGTCACAGTCCAAAAAAGGAACGTACAGGAAGAACAAAGACATCTGAAGTGAAGTTTGATCATGATCATGGAGTTTGATTCTCTACTTATATATATTCATAGATAAGAAGGTTAGGTATATATTAAATCTATGGTTTGATTTAAATTTGGTTTGTTTTTGTTGGTTATTTAAAATGATTAAATGATAATACATATTGAATGAATAAATTATATGTCGTGTATGTTATATAAACGCTTTTAAAATGTTAGATAGTGTGAAACACATAATACTAGTCCTTTCTGGCAAAGGTGGAGTTGGAAAATCAACAGTTAGTACCCAATTAAGTCTAGTTTTAACAGAAAAAGGCTACAAAGTAAGTAAATAAATAAACTAATAATATGGCTCTAAACTAATCATTGTCCGAAAAATTCTAGTATAACCATATATTGTTATTTGTAATATAAAAATAAACATAAAAACAAAAGTTTTTAGAATCTTTGAAATGGAAAAACTGTTTGTAACTTTTAGTTAAAAGGAATATACATTAACTAAAAAAAAAAACAAAATTCCATGAATATGTTCAAGGCACATAATTTTTTTGCTTTGTATGCATCAAAAGACATACACCTGTTCTTTTTTTGTAGTACAAAATGCACAACAATCCTTTGTCTCTTTTCTTTCTGGGATTAAGGGAATTAAATCTGTGATGCCACAAATTTCACGAATTTGGTATTTGCGGCTAAGTGGTAGATTTCTAGTAAACTCGAATTTTGAAATAGAAATATATAAGCTCATTTGCAAGATTTCTTCAAAAATCATGTTGTTTCACCTTTTTTCTCATTGTTATCAATTGCATTGAAGATAACCATTAAATTAATGCCAGATATATTCAATATTTTATAGAATATAACCATTATTAAGTATGAGAAACTAGTGTAATAATATGTTGATTAAAACCAAACATACTTGAATTTACAGAATGCTTTGGTTTTGTGAATCCAAACAGCAATTCTCTTTAATTCTTGCTAATGGTTCTCAGTACTGTAATTTTCTTCTCATATATCTTATTCACATAGTCATTGAACAACATAAATAATATTTCTGTTACTAACCTGAAAACATCCTTCAGGTTGTTGACCAACATATATCTCTAAATTAGTGGTATAAAGCATCAGACAGAGCAAAAATGTTTATGCTTTAAGTGTTCGGTTTTGATGGGATATATTGACAAAATCGACACTTTCTTTAAATCTGGGTAACATCTCATCTATGGGGACATATTCAGAGAGAATGTATCCACTTCTACACTGTGTTAAAAAGTTGTTGGAAAAACACTTTTGTTGGCAATTGTCGAAGAAGAAATTTAAATCATGGGAGCGACATAGTCAGGCAGAACATTTCTATACTGGATTCATCAATTTTACAAAACTCATCTGGATTCATATGATTACCTTTCAGACGTGCTGCATAATAAATCAGTCGTATTAGTACCTGCACTTCTAATATATCAGTGTGTCTAGGATCTCGATCACGAACAAAGTTATTTCTTATTGAGTTTATGAGTCACGCTTACTTAGCCAATTATGATTAAAGTAATTATTCAGTATAGCCGGGACGACCCTTTCAATGAATTTATGTGTGGTGTTAACTAAAGAGCAGGAATTATCTGGACGTTTGATGCATTGTGTATTTGGATGCATCTTGCATACTTCTGTGTAATGCTTCAAGTGAATGGTTATGAGCCATAGCACATTCATATCAGATAATAACTGAACTTGTTTGCATCACTGCAATCATTCCACTTTTTTAATGTTAAATTAATGTATTATGTATTAGTAATTAATTAAACACTGATCACTAGTCAATGCATTGCTGCTACTGGAAACAGCAGACACATTTATATTGTCGATGGTGTTGTGGTTTGGGTGGAGCTCTCTATGTCGGTGGTGACCGGTTGTCCTCATCTCTTGTATCGAGACAATTTTGCCTTTTTTAATTTCCATGACTTTTCAGATAATTCTTGGTTTGTAGAAGCGGAAGAGGGCTATGGTTTTGGAGTTTTCAAAATCAGTTTAATGACCTGTATGAAATGGAATGTTTATAAATCCTATTGTGAATTCTAATTTGTTTTAAACTAGAGAGCTCAGCGGGTCTACTTAAGCATTGATGTGGATACTGAGGTCTTCCATAAAGAAAATGAAATGATGAGTTATTATATATATATATATATATATATATATATATATATATATATATATATATATATACATATATATATATAATTACTTCTAATCTTTTCTCTAGCCTATACTAATTTTATTTCTCTGCAGGTTGGTATATTAGATGTAGATTTATGCGGTCCAAGTATTCCTTATTTATTGCAGCTTGAGGGAAAAGATGTGCATCAAGCAAATGAAGGGTAAGTTAAAATATCCTGTACATTATTTTGCTTTCACTAAATGTTGTATAGGTACTATATACAATATGGTATAGGATATGAATGTTCTGAAAATTGCTGTAGACAATGACATCTTTGATGTCTATTAAACATGTTGATAACAATACAGACGAAAATTTTAAAACCTGATTATGTGGAAAAGTTGGGTGCAAAACAAGACTCAGAGGTTTGAGGCGTCTCTAATATGGGGTTGACTTTCTCACAAGAAGTTGGTGTATAAGGAGACCGTCAACTGAAGGAGCAAGATTTATTGGACTGTTGGTGGAAATGAAGAGCAGTGTGATGCAGTGATTTGAAAACCCTACATTTTTTGAAGAACTGCGGTTCTCGACGCAATGAGATGTACTCAAGCAGTTTACGCATAAATTATGGCTTTTAACCAACGAGAAACATTCTTGCGCTCTTTTAGCAAAAAAGGACATTTATATAAAGGATGAAAACCAGAACACAAGGCACATTTACCCATTTGATTAGTTACTTTAGGTTGATTTGTGGCACTGACAAAACTAGATGTAATAGGTTTTTTATTCGAATGATGGATTAAATATAATTATTAAATAAATTCAATATAATTATATAATTTATAAAATTATAAATATAATTATTAATTATAAATTATATATTAATTAGAAAGGTTTAATGAATTAAATTGAACCGATTCCAGAGCTATACATTGTCTTTTTAAAAATGAAATCAATTGCCTGTAAGAACGCATAAGGCGGCAACATTTTCCGTGATAATATTTAAGAGGTTTCTTAAATTATTAGAAGTGGAATTTTTTATGACTGAGGCGTTAAAAAGGGTCGTTATATTATTGGGTAGCAACAATTCGTTTATTCTGAAATCTTTTCCCTAAAATCTTGTAAGCAATCTTTTAATTTGCAACGGTCAGAGGAATGTCTTTAAACACAGCCAAAGGTTATTGACTAATCGACTCAATCTCGGAAATTACCTGAAAATATGGGTAAATTAAGCTTTGGAAGTCTAACTATAGGCCTTGAAGATGGTGCATTCAATTGTGAAGAGATATTCGAAGAAGAGGACGACGAATCTCTAGTTTAAAAGTCACTCTTGATGGATTTTACTCCGTAATGTGCCTGATCAGCGACAGCCTTAACTTATCGCACTTTGTTTATTTTGCTGGACAATCTAAGACAAAAGAAACGAGAAAAGACAATTCAAACAAAATGAAGTTGATCAAACACCAAAGAAATGCTCTAGATTTAAAGAAGAGAAATCGCAAACAAGGAAAAATAACAAGGTACAGAATGAGTAGAAAAGTATGATAAAAATTAAATAAAAATAATTCCCAAAAATTAGTTATCACAAAAGTAACCTAACCTAACACAAAAGTAAACAACATTACTAAATAATAAATTAATAATATATTTATATAATCAGTTATACGAAAATCAATTAAAATATGTAATACAAGAGTACCTACAATATAACTTGCCTCTTTGTCAACCATTTTCCATCCACTCCTGAATGTAGGTCTCTCCTACTTTTGCTCCCACTGTTTGCCTACTACTGCTCTTATGTCATCTACCCATCTTTTTTTAGGTCTTCCCATGCTTCTTGTTGTGGTCCTTGGTATCCATTCCATTCACAGAATTCTCTGTATCCACCCGTAATTGCCACCATAATAACCTTCACGCCAACCTCCACCTAAACCACATCACGATAAGTGGTATAAATGAAAATGAACCGTCCTCTGTTCACAGTAGCAGTAATGCTTTGGTTAGTTATCAGTGTTTGGGGGCTCGGGTGACTGAGACCTCGGAAGCCCCGAAGAAGACATAAAAGAGGATGTCGAATGGTTTAGGATAAATTATATATATGTATATATATATATATATATATATTATATATATATATATATATATATATGTAATATATATACATATATATATATATATATATATATATATATATATATATATATATATATATATATATATATATATATATATATACAGGGTGGTCCTTAAGTAATTGTACAAAAAGAAACCGCAGATTCTACACTTTAAAATATTACGATTAAAGTCAACTTGCTTTAATAAAATGTTGATATTCAAAAAGATACAAGTGGAAATTTAAAATTTTATTTTTCGCTATAACTTTCATGTTTGTAAACATGTATGTATAAAAATTTACAACTGGGTACTATCCAATATCAGAAATTATAATTTGATGCATACTTTGATATAGCCAATAGAGGGCGCCACATATGCTACATACGTGTCATACATTTGCACTTAACTTTTTTGTTCTTCAAGTTACCGGTATTTTTGATTAAAAATATTTAAGATACATTATTTTAAAAAAGAAAAGGTATACTTGTTAATAACTTCAAAACTCAACAGTTTTCGAGATAATCGCATTTTACAAATCAACTGCATAATTCTGGTTTAACGCAATTACTCCAGGCAATGGAAGAAAAATAGATAAAAACATCAATACTTCTGAATTCTGTTATAAAACATCTTTAATAAAGTTAATAGTTAACGAAATATTAAATAAAATAAATATATCAGCAGGATAATTAATAATAGAATTTGATAAAATAACAGAATAATAGGATTTTACATTAAACATTTTACGTTTTGTATTAAATTAAAGTCATAATCAAAACATTTTATTTACAAACCAAATTAAGAAATTGTTAAACTAAATAATATTAAACTTTTTGTCAAAGTAAGTGTTCAATATGTCCACCATTTTCTTTAATTAATTTGTCAATACATTCCATAAAATATCGTCTCGTAATAAATGGCATCATTGGTTCTAAAGAAACAGCTGCACTACTTATTATAAGTAGTATACTTATTATAAGTATAACAATAGGTATTCTTTTGTTATTTTTATGAATTAAATAATTATATTAATATCTTACCACATAACCAAGGAATATGACTATCACAAACAATCCAACGTTCAGGAAAGTTGTTTTTAAATACTGTTCTCTCTCCTTCTTCTCTGTAATGTATTGGTGAACCATATTATATAAACCAAATATTTAGCCTTAAGTTTGATGACAATTCTTCCAATAAATTCGCATATCCGTAAAATATCATTCAAAATTCATTGTTAAAATGCATGTCCTATGGTTTGGAACCATTGGTAATTATTTTTTACGGATATGCAAATTACTTTGCAATTTGAATGTCGAGATTTATTTACAGTTTTTATAAAATCATTTTATTGATTTATCCAAAGATTTGTCATCAAACTTAAGGCGAAATATGTGGTTTCTACAAGATGGTATACCATTACGTTACAGAGAAAGAGGAGTGAGACAGTGTTTAAAAACAACTTTCCTGAACGTTGGATTGTTCCTGGTAGTCATATTCTTGTAGTGAGATATTAATGTAATTATTGAATTCATAAAAATTTCAAAAAATTACTTATTATTATACTTATAACACTTATAAAAAATACTGCAGCAGTTTCTTTAGAACCAATGAATGTATTGACAAATGAAATAAAGAAAATGGGGGACATATTGAACACTTACTTTGACAAAAAATTCAACGTTATTTAGTTTAACTATTTCTTAATTTGGTTTGTAAATAAAATGTTTTGATTGTAACTTTAATTTAATACAAAACGTAAAATGTTTGATGTAAAAACCAATTATTCTGTTATTTATCAAATCCTATTATTTTATTTTGCTGATATATTTATTTTATTTAATAATTCGTTAATTATTAACTTTATTAAAGGTATTTTATACTTAAATTCAGAAGTATTGATGTTTTTTTTTTCAAATTTTCTTTCGTTGCCTGGAGTAATTGAGATAAATCAGAATTATGTAGTTGATTTCTAAAATGCGATTATCTCGAAAACTCTTGAGTTTTGAAGGTATTAACAAGTATAACTTTTTTTGTTAAAATAATGTATCTTTAATATTTTTTATTAAAAATACCCATATCTTGAAGAGCAAAAAAGTTAAGTGCAAATATATGCCACATATGTGGCATATGTGGCGCCCTCTACCGGCTATATCAAAGTATACATCAAATTAAAATTTCTGATATTTAATACTATCCAGATGTAAAATTTTATACATAAATGTTGACAAACATAAAAGTTATAGCAAAAAATAAAATTTTAAATTTCCACTTTAACACCCTGTATCTTTCTTAATATTAACATTTTATTAAAGCAACATGACTTAAATCGTAGTATTTTAAAGTGTAGAATTTACGGTTTCTTTTTGTACAATTACTTAAGGACCACCCTGTATATGTAAACATAATATATATTAATAAGATCCCCAAATTTTAAATAAAATTAAAATCAAAAGACCATTAAAAAAATCGAGAACACCCTGTATATAGAAATAGTTTAGTTGTAAAATCATAAACCATTTACCGGGAACAACGTGAGTGGTTTCCGAATATGTGAATAAGTGATCTAGAAAGTTTTTCTCCGATAAAAAGACAATATGGTTTGGACATGACCAGGTAATTTTAGTACACAACAATTTGAAATGTGCAGGTATAATAGATTAGAAAGTAATAAGTAATGATTATTGGTTAATGGGTTTTCTCCTTTACAAAAGTTAAAAAAGAATTCAAGGTCGTTTGCCTGAAAGTACTTTAACGTCAGGTAATTTTTGGAAAAACCAAAAAGTTAATGGACTAAGAAACCGATGATGCGTTTGATGAGAGGGGAGGTTTGTTTGGATTGGATTGAGATGAATAAAGAAGAAGGGGGTGAAAAGCTTGCCGGGAATGAAATGAGGAAAAAGAGGGACATTATGAGTTAAACATCGAGAGAGACCGGTTCCGGTGAAAACATTTTTTCTTGAGAATTTATAAAAAGTAGTGCTTAGTGTTGTATGGAAAATTAAGTAGCCATTGTGGTAAGCAGAGACGATTTCCAGTAGAAATAGAGGCATTACTGTAAGTACAAACAGATATATTTTCGTTCTGTCTGAGAGGAAGCAGTTTGTTTGTCTTGGAGTTTGGAGCTTGTGGTAAAGACATCACGACATTTTCACATACTGTTTGTCTTTTTTCTTTTATTATCAAAAGAAACAGTAGGCGGAATAGCAAGCAGGGAAATTGGTAGGATCCGAGAAGTACATTGCGATCTGGTCAGAGCACAATCCAAGCAGAATCAAGGGAAGATAGTCTGTTTGAAAACCAAAGTTTTGAGTTTTTAAATAAATTCTATAAAGACATTCTATCACGACCATCTATCAACATTCATGTCAATTGTTTGTAATTTGCAATATTTTTACAGTTAAGGCAAGAAGTCAAGGAACCAATAATTCTTTCTAAATTTTTTTATATTAAGAGATATTTGATTTAGAAATATGTGTATTTAATTTTTTTGAGCATTAAGGGATGCGTGATTTGATGGATGATTGATTATATTTTTACTCTATTTATAGTGTATGGTGTAACATTTATCCTCAACGGAATTTTAAATTAATTGGATATATTTTAAAATAAAGGACAATTGTTTTAATATCAGAATTGATTGTCTATTATTTCTTTTTCCTTTTGTTGATCCTTCTTAAATGGAACTAGCAGAAGATACTTTGAAGCCACGTTTTTAATAAAAAAAAAGATAAAAATTATTTTTAGCCCTGAGATATTCTTTGCTTTTGATTTGTTTGATAAAGATAATTTATTACATTTCAGACTATATAAGTAGATTTACAATTATAAGCAAATCACAACAATAAATATATATATATATATATATATATATATATATATATATATATATATACAGAAGTTAAAACACTTCACACTTGTATTTTGGTATAAAAACATATAGTTAAAAGTTTTTAAAAATGTGTCGTCAAAATTTATGTAGTTTTCGATCTAATCAGATCATCCTCAGTGCCTTATGTAGTTGAAGCTAACAATAAAGTTGTGGCTGTGGCATCCATATATGGGTTTACATCATTCCAAATTTTAATTATGTTGTGACTCTAGGTCGATGACGTTGAATAAAATTTATTACTTTAGGGACTACATGTCTCCCTGCTCGATTTTTAACACGTGGTACTTGTCAGTTAAAACGACACAAACCAACTCTGGTTGGTCTACAGACCAGTACAGTACGTCGTGTTTTGAAATCTTTGTCTCTAGATGATCCATAAAAATATCTGATAGCAATGGGCTTAGAGGATTGCCCATTATAAATCCTGCACTGTTGTTTGTGTATATTGGATTATTAAATTCAAAGTAGTCCTGGTTTATGCAAACTTCAAGAAGATGTAAAATTTTAGATGTAATGATCGAATTTGTACTATTTTTGGTCTAAAAGGTTTTTTACTAGAATTAAAGTTTCTGTAGGAGGAATACTACGAAAAAATTTTTACGTCAAATGAAATTAATCCGGAGTTGTTAGGTAATTGAAAATGTATGTTATTAACTAGTTCTATTGTATTTTTTATGGTAAATTTAAGTGAAAATTTAGTGTGCTCTAAAATAATCTCTAAAAGTTTTTTTTAAGTTTATATGAGGGAGCTGTGTAAAAAGAAACTACAGGTCTTATTGGGTGATTCGGTTCGTGTAGTTTAATGAAAGAGTATAATTTAGGAGGCTGTGGGTTCATGATATTCAGGTATTTCTGTTCTTTTGGAGTTACTATTGATTTTGAATTTTCTAGCGCTAACTTAATTTGTTTTTGATACTTTTCTGTCGGATCTTTGTGCGTTGAACGCACAATAATGAACGTTTGAACGAATGAAATATTGAACGTTTCAATATTTTGATTATTTAAAAATTCTATTGTTTTGTTATTATATTCTAATTCATCTATAGTAATACTAGTGTTACCTTTGTGTGCTTTTGTAAACACTTTTGTTTTCTATTGATTTATTTTTAATTGAAATTGCTGTTTTATTCTCTTTGTAAGAGGAATTTTTGGTTTCACTACACACATCTGTAATAGATTTTGCAATTATATTTTTTCCAGTATTGTTATTAGTTTTGTTTAGTGCTACTTCACATTCTACACCTATGTTTAAATCCTTTCTCTAAAAGTTGTATCTCGTTATTACTAAATGTAGTATCTGTTAAATTTATAAATCTGTTCCAAAAATTATGATTAGATTATTTAGTTTTTTACACTGTGTATTGAATTTTTTATATATTATATTATCTATATTATTATTATTATATTATCTATAACTTTGGAAACTATGCCGTCAATTTTTATCGGTACAGGTGACTACACAGGTAAGGTAAACTTACCATTCCAGGGGCATACATTTTGGTCAAACATATTTGTACGGCATTTATAACTTAGGTAGGTAATACAAAAATAATGACGTGTGACCTAATTTTGTACAAAAATATTGGTACCAGTAGCAGGGACAATCTTTCATTTTCGGAAAATTTTGACCCCATTTTTGTCAATTTTATACAGTACGGCATTCATACACATAGTTTCGGATCGTTATTTAGATTACTTTTTTTGCAGTGCCATACATATCGGCTGGTACAGGGGTGACAAAATCTAGAGCGCACCACTCTATTTTTAATGAGTACAAATGAGGTCATTTGAGCCAAGATGAGACTCACTGATTTAAATTTATTTGCATAAAATAATAACATTTTTGGACATGCCGTACATTTTTCACGGTGCATATGCTTATGAGAGACAAATTAATTCTCCTCTGATAAGTGGGATATTACGATCAAAAATTTCTGTACGGCATTGATATATTTTGTTAATATTGACATCAATTATCAATTAAAATAAAATCTCTTACAAAAAAATGGTTCTGAATGACTTTAAAAGTATTAAAGTCCAGGTTGTGAGGTCGCTCCCGTAGGAAAAATGTTTCTGATTCGCTTTATTCGCGAAAATTGTTTAAACAATTTTTTTTAATTGCAAAAATAACTGGTTTTTGCTCCGAGAAACATTTTTTCATGTCATTTTTCTCTAAAGTTTCTAGTTTTCAAGTTATAAACAATTTAAATTCTCAAAAAAGCGAAAATACGCACTTTCGAGACTGGAAAACTCATCTGAAAATTATTATTGTTCAGGTTGACAACTGCTCAAATTGAAGAGCAGTTTTTAGAAGGTCTATTAAATTTGTTTTGTTTCTTTAGTTACCAAAAAATTTTATCTTAAGATAATTATTAATAATAAGTTTTGTGGTGGAGAAAAGGGTGGATAATAAATTAATAATAACATAGCAATAATATTGAGAAAATGATAAATCGAATATTGAAGATATATATTAGATCGATATAAGATATAAGATCGATATTCTTACGAATAATGAAGAACCAGTTCAACTTCGGAGCGCTGTAAAACCCAGAAAAATTAATGAAATTATTTATAGTGAAAATTATTCTTTGAAAAACCCTTTATAATATTTCTCTGATGGTGAGAAAAACCCTTTATAATATTTCTCGCTCAAGATGGCGAGTATTCTAGAACCCTGTCAATTTCGGAGAACTGTAAAATCCAGAGAACTTAATGAAATTAAACAAATTTGTAATGAAAATTATTCTTTATAAAACCCTCTATAATATTACTTTGATGTCATTTTTTTATGTCATTTTCGTGTTTATTTCCATATACAGGTTTCTCATTTATTTCTATTGTGGGTTTTTTGGAGCTGTTTTTTTTTTCTTCCAGTATATTTTTATCTCTATTCCACTTCCATAGTTGTCTATCAATAATAATCATTTAATAGCCTAATTTTAGACGAGAGCTATTTTAACCTCTTTCTTAATTGCTTTTTCAATTTTCATCTATTCCTTAGCTAGATTGTTGTTGATATAGATTTGCTTATTTTTTTTTAGTCCAGGTTTACTTTTGTTCAGCATCATTTTCCCCTTTTCTTCATGATTTTCTGTTTTTGCTACTTATTTCCAAGTTTTCCTACTTATTTCATCTTGACCTGAATATGTTGTTCTTTCTTCATCAAATTATTGTTTCTGTAAGTAAATCTTTGTTGCCTGTATCTATTGACAAATTTTCTGTTAATAATTTATTTGCATTCTAAACATTTCTATATGCTCGCCTGTTTTTTGCATATTCTAGTTCCTTTCTTGGCTTCTTTTTCTTTTATTAGTGGTTGGTTAGTTTTGCTTACTTTTATTTTTTTTTCTAATTTATTTTATTCATTCCTGAATTCATATTGTTGTCCTTTTTTTGTTATATTTTCGAGTCGATGTTATTGTTTTTGTTAATAAATTCTGCATCCGTTAATGATTTGGTTTGATTTTTTTTTTAGTTCGAAACGTTTTTATGTATTGTTTAAATAATTCTTCCTTGTCTTTATTTCTTCCCATCTTTTTGGTATCCTCTGAAGAATCACTATCAATTTTTTTTGTTACTTATATTATTTTTGTATCTTCAAAAATGACTACTAGCACCGTTGTCATCAGCCTAATATCTTGAGAGCTCGATCGGTTGGGGTGAGTAGGGTTTTCCCTATACCCACAATCCCACAATCCTTCTACTTTCTCTTATTTAAATATTTAATTTTAAAAAATTAATTATAGGATTTGTAAATTCGGTTCTGTCTCTTCTTTTTAGACATTAATAGAAAGTAACTTAGTATTCTGTTATCTGTTTTCTTGACTAGTTTCTGAGTCTATTCAAGTTTTTAATAACAAGTTGTAATGACCAATTTATTTTACTAATTAAAGTTTGAAATAGTAGTTAGTTGATATATATAGCATTCTAAACGCACTGCACTTTAAATTTTAGTATTAGATTAGATTTAATTGTTTTCTGTTTGTTTCTACCACTAATTTTACTTTAAATAGAAGCTAAATTTGTATCGTATGTCGTTTGTATAAGATTTTAACAGAAAGAGAATAAATATAAAGATTTAACTAATTTTTTAGGTGGATACCAGTGTTTTTTGACAAGAACCAAAACCTAGCCGTTATGTCAATCGGATTCCTTTTGAATGACAGAAATAGTTCTATAGTATGGAGAGGCCCAAAGAAGACTTCGATGGTCAAACAATTTTTGACTGACGTCTGCTGGGGAGATCTTGATTATTTGATTATTGATACACCTCCAGGTATTATATTATGTTATTAAAATTTATTTATTTATTTACGGATATACCTATCATTTTTTACAAAAGAATATCATAAATCTTTATAAAGCGTAAGTTGGTTAAAAAATTTTTTGTAATGGGTTCATTTTAGCCATAGTTTGTAGTATGAAATGGATTGTTGAAAATCTTCCAGTATTAACATTAAAACTAATTAAATTTAATAGCTCTGGAGTTGGAATACATCCATTTATAATCATGGAGAAAATATAAATCTGCGTCAAACCTATGATGTAGTGACGTGATATTATTTCCGCCATATTTTTTTTTGGGTTTTGCGGGAAGGGCGTTTGTGGATTTTTGGATACCAATATTAAAATCCACAAACACCCTTCCCGCAAAACACGAAAAAAGAAAAGCCTCGAACAACTACACTTCCCTTCACGCCGAAACCAGTGGAGGGGAGGCGAGTAAAAAATATAAATATGGCCTCCGTAGTACAACGCGGCGTCAGTTTCAGCTTACAAGCAAAGTAGTAACATATCCAGAAGATGCCAACCCTTATTGTTGGCGAAATGTCGAGAACTAATCTCAGAAGACAACGGCCTAACAGCCCGAACAAAGAGTTCAACAAGTTTTTATGACTTGCTCCAACGTTGTGAGTTTTCCGTGGACTGTCGGTTTTTGCGTACACATCAAAGGTATTGGCGCCAATATTGGTGTTGCTGATGATGCCGACCACACATAGGCGCTACAGTAGTGTTCCAATCAGCATATAATTATGCTATTTGCGCATAATTTAGTTGTTGGCGCGTAATAGTCGCATCCTACATAAAATTGGGTACCTAATTTTGTACAATATAGCAAAGCAAAAGAAAATAAACCAATGACAAGCCACAGTTTATAAAAAGAGTCCTGGTCTTCTTTTTTCTTTTAAAAGACTTGTGCTGCCATTTTACACAGCATTCTTTTTAGAAAATAAAAATTACTTTATCGAAGAAAATTTCCATTCCATGACGGCATTAAAAAACAAATTTACAACATGTAAAACTCGATGTTTGGCCACCTGATGAATAATATACTTGAATTATATAATTGAATACTTGAATATAATTGAATAATATACATATCTGATTTTTTCAGTAGCTTTCAGGCACCAAAAAAAAATGTACTTATAGAAATATTTTACAAAATTATATGCTTTTAATTTTGAACTATAGATCATTTTGTCCTAATAGACCACCGTCGCATCGTATGGTCATGTAACTTTTCATATATGTACTTCCATATATCGGCTGTGAATTAAAGTCACGTTTGATGCAGAATATAGCCAACACAGAAGGCTAAGAAATTTGGGAATAGAGTTAATACAAGAATAAATGGGATTCAGAGCCTCGACGTCAGGTTTACACTCATATTCAATCTGCAGTTTTTAAATACGGCATCTCTAAAGATCTAGTTGCTTTACGTAATGTAGTATGTTACTGCTGTAAGACATGTTGACGTTGGCTCTAGAGAGAACAGAATGATATCAGCCCAATACTCAACAAAATGTGTGGATGCCTCACCGAATGTGGGAACACAGTTGAACCCACGTTGGCGCCAACGTTGGATCCAGTCATAACTATCCATTCTGTCCTTCGAGGATAACCTTGTCTCGCTAAGAATGACCATACAGATCAAGGTTTGCCAAAAACTACCCATTGATTTAAACCACTTAAAAGAATAAAGATATGCAGGGTGGTCCTTAAGTAATTGTACAAAAAGAAACCCCAGATTCTACACTTTAAAATATTACGATTTAAGGCAACTTGCTTTAATAAAATGTTGATATTAAAAAATATACAGGGTGTTAAAGTGGAAATTCAAAATTTTATTTTTCACTATAATTTTCATGTTTGTAAACAGTTATGTATAAAAATTTACAACTGGTTACAATTGAATATCAGGACTTATAATTTGATGCATACTTTGATATAGCTAATAGAGGGCGCCACATATGCCACATACGTGGCATACATTTGCACTTAACTTTTTTGTTCTTCAAGTTATCGGTATTTTTGATAAAAAATATTAAAGATAGATTATTTTAACAAAAAAAAAGTATAAATGTTAATAACTTCAAAACTCAACAGTTTTCGAGATAATCGCATTTTACAAATCAACTGCATAATTCTGATTTAACGCATTTACTCCAGGCAATGAAAGAAAAATAGATAAAAAAATTAATACTTCTGAATTTTGTTATAAAATACCTTTAATAAAGTTAATAGTTAACGAAATATTTAATAAAATAAATATATCGGCATGATAATTATAGGATTTGATAAAATAACAAAATAATTGGATTTTACATAAAACATTTTACGTTTTGTATTAAATTAAAGTCATAATCAAAACATTTTATTTACATGTTAAATTAAGAATAGTTAAACTAAATAACATTAAACTTTTTGTCAAAGTAAGTGTTTGATATGTCCACCATTTTCTTTAATTCACTTGTCAATACGTTCCATAAAATATCGTCTCATATTAAATAGCATCATTGGTTCTAAATTAACTGCTGCAGTACTTATTATACGTATTATAAGTATATAATAGGTATTCTTTTGGGATTTTTATGAATTAAATAATTATATTAATATCTCACCACATGACCAAGGAATATGACTAACACGAACAATCCAACGTTCAGGAAAGTTGTTTTTAATTACTGTTCTCACTCCCTTTTTTCTGTAACGTATTGGTGTACCATCTTCTATAAACCACATATTTAGCCTTAAGTTTGATGACAATTTTTTCAATAAATCAATAAAAAAAATTTATAAAAAATTTAAATATCACACCATTCAAATTTCAAGGTAATTCGCATATCCGTAAAATATCATTCAAAATTCATATTTAAAATGCATGTCCTGTAGTTTGGAACCATTGGTCATTATTTTTTACGAATATGCGAATTAACTTTCAATTTGAATGTCGAGATTTATTTACCTTTTTATAAAATGATTTTATTGATTGATTGGAAGAATTGTCATCAAACTTAATGCGAAATATGTGGTTTCTACAAGATGCAACAACTTTCCTGAACGTTGGATTGTTCGTGGTAGTCATATTCTCGTGGTAAGATAATATTATAATTATTTAATTCATAAAAATTTCAAAAAATTACTTAATATTATACTTATAACACTTATAATAAATACTGCAGCAGTTTCTTCAGAATAAATGATGCTATTTAAATAGGAGACGATATTTTATGGAATGCATTGACAAATGAATTAAAGAAAATGGTGGACATATTGAACACTTACTTTGACAAAAAGTTTAATGTTATTTAGTTGAACTATTTCTTAATTTGGTTTGTAAATAAAATGTTTTGGTTATGAATTTAATTTAATACAAAACGTAAAATGTTTAATGTAAAATCCAATTATTCTGTTTTTATCAAATCCTATTATTTTATCCTGCTGATATATTTATTTTATTTAATAATTCGTTAACTGTTAACTTTATTAAAGGTATTTTATACAAAAATTCAGAAGTATTGATGTTTTTCTTTAATTTTCTTTCGTTGCCTGGAGTAGTTGCGATAAATCAGAATTGGGTAGTTGATTTCTAAAATGCGATTTTCTCGAAAACTGTTGAGTTTTGAAGATATTAACAGTATACCTTTTTTTGTACAAATAATGTATCTTTCATATTTTTTATTAAAAATACCGGTAACTTGAAGAGCAAAAAAGTTAAGTGCAAATTTATGCCACATATGTAGCATATGTGCCGCCCTTTATCAGCTACATCAAAGTGTACATCAAATTATAATTTCTCGTATTTAATAGTACCCAGTTGTAAATTTTTATACATAAATGTTGACAAACATGAAAGATATAGCGAAAAATAAAATTTTAAATTTCCACTTTAACACCTTGTATCTTTCTTAATATCAACATTTTATTAAAGCAACTTGACTTAAATCGTAATATTTTAAAGTGTAGAATCTACGGTTTCTTTTTGTACAATTACTTAAGGACCACCCTGTATATGAATGATATTATTCTTAAAAAGTGCACTGTAGCAGAATTTATGGCGAAAGGAATTGAAATTAAAAAAAAATGTAGAAATATGTATTGGGTATCTAACACAATAACAGACGAGAAAGAAAAGCAAAGAAGCTGAAATCAAATTTAAAATAAAAGAATATGGAAAATATGTAGATGATTAGATCTAGGTTAATTGCTCGAAATATACCATGGATCTTACCATGAGGAATTGTGACGAGATGAAGTCCATCCCGTACTTCATCTCGTCACAATTCCACATGGTATGATCAAAAAGGTATCTTCGAAATAATCCAGGGCAGCCCAAAACTCTAGTGAGAAAATGTTCTGGTCGCAGAGATGATCAAAAGCATTAATCACGTGATTTGTGGGAACAAATACCAATGCCGGAAGCATTTTTAAAGTTAAAGCTGTCTGTGGATTCTGCTCGTATTCCCTTTGTAAACCGTTTGACTGGATATGGCGCAAGATGCATTGGCAAAACTGAAAAAAGCGTCCCCTATATACAGTACCTCTTGTACAGCATTTATCATCGCCAATTCAAAATCAGTCTTGATAGTAAGAGGTCTCCCAATAAGAATGTCCTGATGTTTTTTTTTTAACGAAAACGGTAAAAATTGCTGTAAATAAAAAAAAAAGTTTATTGCAAAATATAATAGGTAACAATTAAGTTCTGAATAACACATCATTCAAATGTCCACCTCGACTACGTTTGCAGGAGCGAATCCGATGAACCCAATTTTCGGTCACTTTATGCAAAATATCCGCATTAATCTCACGAATGGTCTGATCTATGTTCCTCTTCAAGTCTTCAATGGATTGTGGTTTATTCACGTAGACCAATGACTTAAGATAGCGTCATAAAAAATAATCCAACGGTGTTAAATCGCAGCTTTTTGGATGCCAAGCATCTGGTCGAAGTTGTTGAATTCTCCTGGGATCTCTGGCATTAAGAGAAATCAATGT